CCCCACCGTCCTGCCCCAGCAGCGTGGAGCCGGAATGGATCAGGGTGCAGCGACAGGCAGGGAAGCGGGGTGCGGGGGGCGTTTGCAGCATTGCAAAGTAATTCCTCCACAGCTAGCTAGAAAGTAGAGCCAAGAGAGCAGCTGAAACGCAGCTGGAAACGTTTGCGAGATGGGGGCGGGTTGGATTTGAGCCTCTCGGACTCTTAGGAGGGAAGCAGCAAGTTTCCTGGTGAGTGCAATTTTCCTTATCCCGTGTGGAGTTATCGGGAGTGCTGCAGAAAGCAGAGGCTGGGTCTCCAGGTGACGTGCAAGTTCTCCTCTTTTCTTCATGCATTGGTTTGGGTGTTTTCCCGCGGTAGTCAGGGCCGGAATCTCCCTCCTTGCTGGCGGCTGCACGGCGAGCTTGCTGCGAGCCCCAGGACCGGAGTGTGCAGGGCAAAAGACAATATTGCAGCTTTCCCTCCCCAAAACCAAGCTGGCAATAAGTCCAGGCAGGACGGTTTGTTAGCCGGAGCCAGTAGATGATCCTGAGCTGGGGAAAGCTCTTGTGCGTCAAACCCTGGCAGCGCCGCGGCTCTAAATATCATCTCAAATCCCCAGCATACTGCGTGTAACTTCCACTTGTCAGCTCGTGTTTGCGGATTATGAAGAAAGGCTGTCAAAAGTTCTCAGGCTCAGAGCTGAGCAGTGGGGTGGGGAGAGCCCCAGTCCACCGCATCCCCCCTCGTCCAGGATGCTGGGGGGGGGGCAGGGAATTGGGCTGAGCCTGTATTTGGGTGGAGGATTTTGGAAAAAGAAGAGAAAAACTACCCCAGTCTACATGCTTTTTATTTTTTCGCTCTCTGATTTGCAAAAGCATCCCTATAAATTAGTAACAGCCAAAATATCTTCAAAATCTTGCCCCCCCCCATGCCATCAGTGCAGCCTCCAACAGCAGGAAATGCTCTGGGTTTATAAAACCGTAATTGGAGAAGAAAATCCTTAATTAGAGAATATTTGCTCTGTGCGGACAGGGAGGGGGAAGTGCTGATAAATGCAAAATACAGAAAAGCAGAACTATTTTAAGACTATTTGCAAAAAAAATAAGAATAATAATAAGTCATCTAAGAAGCTGCAGTGAGGTCATATGAACTTCTGTGGGGGATAGTGCAGAGAAAAAGTGAGTTTGGCTTGAGAATCGTGAGTATTTAAGGAATATAATGTTGTTTTTTTACTGGGCTTTTACTGGCTGCTATACGAGCTGCTGGGATCGGTTTTCCAGGACTTCCCTGCAGGTGTGATGGCTAGCAAGAGGGAATCTCAGCTTGCACTTGGAAAGGCACATAACAAGAAGCCTTTTAAAATCAATGCTCCTTCCTTCCCATGCAATATTGGAAAGCTTTTGCATAATTTGGAAAAGCTCGCCATGCTGGATCCAGCCCCATAAGCTGGGCTGGAGGCGCTGGGCAGCAGAGCCGGCTTAGCACGGCAGCGGATACGAGACGGGTAATGTGGAAACGGGATCAGCAGCTGGAGAGGGAGAAAAAATCCTTTTTCCTTTCTGTGAAAAATTGTCCGTAGAGAAACATAGCCAAAAGGGGAGGAAAAATGGCAATAACTGTGCCTGGTGAATGGTTCTGCCAGGAGAAACGTATCGGCTGATAGAGGCATTTGGGGAAATAATGGCTCTACTTTAAGGAGCTGCAGGATGAGGCAGTGCAAGGAGCTCAGGGAAACCTGGCCGTGCCATCCTGTAGGTCAGGGGTTTGTGTCGGTCGTGTCCTGCAGCCAGAGAGCATCTCCCCAGACCTCGCAGCATGCATCACTGCAAAGCCTCGCTAAGGGATGCCCCGCGCCTGGCAGCATCGGCATCCCTCTGCAGCGGTGTGCGACCCGTGTTGGGTCGTGTGTAATGTCATTAGCGGATAAATTATATGGAAATCTGTCGTCGCTGCTGGCTCTGAGCCTTGAAGCATGACACAGCCGGTTCAGATAGAGATATCGGCTCATTGGGCCTTAACGCAGAGGGAAGCGGAGAGGTTTTGCCGGCGGGGTTTACTTTCGGGAGCTTCAGCAGTTTTAACAGCCTTCGTTTTGCACGGCCGCACAGGGTTTGGTTTGTGATGATCTGGATGGAGGAGGGTGGGTTCATCGTCCCTCCTTGGCAATGCATTTCCAGCCCTTTCCGACAGCATTTAGCACAGAGGTAAGGGCGGCGATAAGCAGCGTCCTCCCTGTGCCGTGCTAACAAGCCCTTGCTGTGGAGAGAGGGAGCAGGGATCCGGAGCGGCACAGGATGCTCTGCGGCAGTAACTCGAGCAGTTTCTCTATCCCTGGCAGCATGTGCTTTATCCATCTTTATTGCTCCTTTTTCTGGGTTAATTCCATCTCTTGCACTTTTTTTTTAATCAATTAATGTCCAAATAAAATCCCATAGCGCTACATCCTGTCGTCCTCTCCTCCTTTGCTGGAGCTGGGACTCGGTATCGTGCTTACAGTGTTAGCGCAATTGTATTTTCCCTGGCCCCAGCTGGAAAGGGATGGATGTGGTCTGGATTTCTGATGTGGAAATCTCCGACGGGAGAAGCTGCAGACAGCTTTATTACTGCTGGGTCCTGCTGCGGGAGGGGACCGTGCCCGAGCGCCTGGAGGACTCGAGGAGCCTCTTGGCCGGGTAATGTCTATGAGCGTGTGGGCTAATGGCAGAAACCCCATTTCTGGGAAGGTTTATCCAATATGCTGGAGCTCGCCTGCGGGATTATCATGTGGAGAGCAAACCTGGTTTCTGTTTCCTTTTCGAGTGCCAAGGTAGAGACCTCGGGCTGGCTTTCCCCACTGCTCGGGAAGGCGTGAACCCACTTCACATCTGCTCCGCAAATGGGTTGTAGCCCGGTCTCCTGCCTCCCAAACCTGCGACTCGGAGCTGTGACCCCCTGGGGACGGCACTTGGGCTGGGACAAGCCTCCTGCAGAAACCCTCAGCACCCCCCGGCTGGCTGCAGCAAGGGGGTGGGTAGCAAAGAAGCGAGCGGACGGATGTCCCAGCAGATGGGTGTCCCAGCCATGGACCCGGCCAAGGAAGCCCTCTCCACCAAAAGGACATGGGGCTCTGTACAGAAAACCCACTCCTTTGAGTGCTCCTTTGAAGATGCACCTTAAACTCACAGTAGGAGTCATTGACCACCTTGTCATGACCGTGGCAGGTCTGGTTTGGAAAGCCCTTGGCCTCGTAGCAGGGTGTTTCCAGGTAAATACCCCCAAGGCAAATGCCTCACCTAATTTTTTCCTGAAATTCAACATTGCACTTGAATTTCCTGCCTGCACCGTACCTCTGCACGCCCAGGAGCAAGTGCCGGCTCTGCCCGACGCCTTGTAACGTTGACGTCTTCAACGGCAAGATCTTCTCTGCAGACAGTGACGGCTGCGCCCAGGGAGTGCGCGTGCCTACTTAATTACAAAGCAAGGAGCGGCGCTGCAGTTCCTGCGCAGGGCTGACCGATTTTATGGGTTAGTCATGGTGACAATATTGAATTTCATGGTAGGGATGGGGAAACAGGAGAAATTAAGTGAATGTTAATGGGACAGGATGGGTTTATGTGTTCCTCTTGCATGGGGCATCACCGAGGCTTGAGCGGTGCGCCCCGAGGACGCCTTTCCCAGCTTTAGAAAATAAGTGCATGATTCAGTAAGTGATAATGTCAGCTCCGATTCTGTTCCTGGCATGAAAATTCACGTTGCACAGGACGAGAGAAGCACTTGCAAGCGGGCAGGAGCCAGAGGGAGCTGCTCTTCGGGAGGGTCAGAGGTGGGCTGCGTCTGCTGCCAGAGCCCTGGTTTGTGTTTGGGCTCTGCCGCTTCATCCCTGGAGCTGGGAAGCTAGGCAGAGATGCTATTTCTACGGTCCGAACATAGTCATTTTTTGATATCTAATCATTGGTGTGTAATATCGCATTACCAAGGTAGTCAAACTAATTATCTGCATGCTTTCCAAGCAAACCTGGGTTAGATGGTGCGACCACCACCGCCTCATTTTCCCTTAATTTGATATTATTAATTTCAAAGGGGGGGGAATGGTACTTACAGCAGCCCCCATTTTAGGGGGCAAAATGCCTGGTTAGCTAATTCCCATCCAGAAGTTGTTAGATGCTGAGGCCAAACAGGGGCCATGGGTGGAGGCACCTTCGGTGGTGGCATCACTGGGAGGTTTCAGCCGTGCCGCTGCCCTGGGCAAGGCTGTGCCCCTCAGCTTGGGCCATCGGAGCGATTCGATCTCAGCTCGTTAGGTAAAGCTGGAAACACAAGGTGCTGGGGAGGGACTTTTGACAGTTTTGGCTGCGAGAGGAGCCCAGCGTGGAGCAGGTCCCGTTACTGCTCTGCGTCCGTCATCCGAAGGAGCGATGCTCGGGGGACGGATCGCGTGGCAGGAGGTGGCAGCTCAAGTAACGGGAGCGCAAGCTGACCTCGTGCAAGATTAATGGTGCGGGCGGGGATGCGGGGGGTGATGGCGAGAGCTGGGGGGATTCACCCTCCCTCCCATCGCTTGCTGCCGGGGCTGGTGCCGAGCCTGAGGCGGGGCTGGTGGGTTCCCCCTCTGCTTCTGCCATGTGCTTTGGGCGGGAGGGAAAAATAAATGATGCAAATAAGCTGCCTGAGTTAAATACTTTCCACTCATGGTAAGGGTTTAGGATTTCTTGCTTCGCTTGTCTTGGGTTTATGAACAGGTCAGAGGTTTTGCCAGAGCCCACCGTGCAGGTGGGCTGTAGGAGAGTTGATTTAGATACTCCTGGGGGGTTGGGATACAGAAACCTGGCCCTGGATCATCAGATTAAAGAAAAAAGCCATTTCACCTCCTCAGATGGCCCCGATGGCCATTGAAAATCTGCTTTATTCTCCTTGGCTGCCCCTGCCATCGTGCTATGGATCGCAACGGCTCATTTTCCCTGACGGGGTAATCAGCCAGGCTTGTTTGCTAAGGATGTATTAAGCCGCCACAGCGAGCGGTGCGTGGTCCAGGAATTGAGGCAGCCCTAACTGCTCACTTCTGCATAACTTTTTATTTTTCTCCTGCCTCTTTCAATTAATTTCCTATTAATTGGGTTTGGAATGAAGTTCTCAAATGACTGGTAAATCTTCTTTAAGCTTGGGAGCTAATCGGTTTTGGAGGAGGGAGAGCAGTGGTAATAGAGGAGGGAAAAAAGTGCGTTAATTTTAGCAAATCTCTCAAATATGAACTGAAACAAATGGTAAATTGTCCTATTGGGTTAATAGGAAAAAAACCTGCTCTTGCAATACCCCAAGTCCATCATCTTCTTGCCGTACTGGTTGGCATGAATGGTGGCAAATATTCAACCTTGGGACATGGTATGTACTCTTCTCCTAATAGTACTTCTGAGCATTTTTTTTTTGGCAAGCAATGAAGTGTTTTCCGTAAGTCTTTAAGGACCCTGAATGCTGCCACTAATTAAAGCAGGTTGTATGCTATAGGGGACCCGCTATTTAATTAAATTCATTAGAAGCCTTTTGTCGCTTCCAGCTTCAGAAAGTGCAAATGTGACTTAAACTTTTATAAGAGCCTCTCAGTATCCTTGAGAAAATTTAAAAAATATATATATGTGTGTGTCACAAAGTGTTCAAGAGCTTGAAAGTAAAGGGATTTTCAGCAGTGCATTATCCTACGGGGATGGGGCTGAGACTGACCCTGCCTGGAAAGGGCTATGGGGGCCAGAAATTCTCCCTCTAAAACCCAAATCAGTGATGGCTGCGGTTAATGTGTCCTCATTAATGAGTCGCGGCCAGTGCAGTCGGTAACTCTGGGTACCCGCTTCTGCAGGGTCAGGATCTCACCCCAGAACAGCTCAGTCAGCTTATCGTTAGTTTTTCTTTTTCAGCAAGTTTTTAGTTCATGTGAAATAAGTGGGCAGGGGAAGGTTGGTGTTAAATACACACAGGCGACAGGAAAGTGCTTTTTTAAAAACTTAGATGTGGTCCCGTTGTGATTATTTTTAGAGGGTTTTTGTAATAGTTTCCCAAGCTGGGAAAAAAAATAAGGAAAGTCCCGGTGTCGGAAGAGGCTGAGTTGTCCCAGGAGGAGTCATGTTCATGGAAGTGAGCAAGGAAGAATCACAAGCGCTCCCGGTCACGGGTCAACATAGATCGTTGTGGCATTTTTTAGCTGGTTTGTTGTTTTTCTGCATTTTGATTTACCTCCAGTGCTTAATGGCGGAGTAGTTGGTCCGAAGAGTTTAATCTCCTGGGTTTTAACAGATAAAGATCTCTGTTGTCCCAAATATCTCCCTCTTCTTCCACTATTTGGTCTGATTCTTTTCCCCCACCTTTTTCTCCACTAACCTGCAAGTTGAGCTTTCAAGTGCTGGGGGAAGGCAGAGGCATGAAGCCAAGGGTGCCAAAGGTGCTAATTGCATAAAGGAAATTAATTTCCTTTTAAGTGTGCCACGGTAATGGTTTTCTTGTATTCCTCAGTCAGGACTTTATCCCACCTGTGTCTCACCAGGAGGAGCTCAGAGGCATAATGTGGAGCAGTTCAAGCCCCTAGAAGAAGTGGCTCGTTATGGGGGCGTGGGGGGTAGGAAACGCAGCGTGGGCTGAAACACTCGCGTGGGTTTCGTTAATCCAATAGAAATAGGTTGGACCTGTGCCTGTGCGTGGAGGCAGGTCCCACTCCTGATGGTGCTATCGTCTTCTAGTGGCTTTTTTAATATAGACAGCTGTTGGTGGCTTTGGGGTTGGTTTTTCTGGTGAGTTTGGGGGGCTTTAGGATGTTTTTTAATATAGAGGAATGACTTGCAAGGCTCAGCTGCTCGCAATGCAGCAAGTGCGGGGAGCATTGGAGGGGCAGAGGGTGTTTCATACCGTCCCACTCCCCTGAAAGCAGCACTTCCTCAGGGTGGAAAAGCATGGAAAGTCCTTCCTATAATGAAAAGCAGTATTTGTATTCTGATTCCTAAATTGGGTGTTATTTTGGTGGGGTGGGGTGTATCTGGAGCAGGGACCCACAGGGTATTTCTGCAGCACTGCCAAGGACCAGGTTCAAGGCTGGGCAAAGCACTTAACGTGCAGAAGTCCCTTGTCCTGCGTGGTGTTTCTGTAATTCTCCCTGGTTTTACCAGGCTTCCAGCAAGCTGTCCCTGCGTCGGTGGTCAGCGAGCATCCCTCGCTGGTGCATGGAAGAGGGAAGACACGAAGGTCTTGGTTTCAGCTCAGGGAGCCGTGCCCTGGGCTCGTGGGAGCGCTGCAGGAATCTGCCGAGCTGCTAAAAATAAACCAGTTGTGGTTTATTTATCCTGGAAAGGGAGCAGCAGGTTTTCCTATGCCGGGCCCTGAGTCTGCGGCAGCGGTTTTGCTCCCGAATGTCCTTTTCCAGGGGCCGAGCTGCCCCATGGAGGCTGAGCGATGATTAGGAGCCACGGCAGAGATGCGCTGGGCATTTCAAGGGGCTGCTGGGTGCATGCAGAGGGTGCAGCAACAGGGGTGAATTGGGCATCTGCTCCCAGCCCAGCCCCTGGGGTCGTAATTTTGCTGCTTTTTCCTGGAAAAATAAAAGCGGTGGAGGCGAGGGGGCTGCCGTGCCCCCAGTGCTTGAGCCATCATCTCTCCCGCAGCCATGAAAGCTGACCGCAAGCGCTTGAAGGTGGAGAAGACGGACCTGGTGAGCCAGATGCAGCAGCTGTACGCCACGCTGGAGAGCCGTGAGGAGCAGCTCCGCGACTTCATCAGGAACTACGAGCAGCACAGGAAAGTGAGTGCGGGAGCCCAGCACCATGGTCTCGGGGCACGGGGGGCTGGCAGCGGCGAGCGCGAAACCCGGTTTGCAATCGGGCAAAAACCCACTAAAGCCCCAGACGGCCTCTTGCAACCGGGCAGATGCTCCCTTGCTGCAAGGGCTGGACTGCAGCAGGTTAAGGATAAATAAATACCAGAGGAAATCGGGCCAGCGAGCTAAACTTGGGAAATTCGATGTAATTTTAACCAGATGCATGGCGGGCATCCCTTTTCGGGGGACTGGCCGCATCCTGCAGCTCCCCTCTCCTGCCTGCTGCCGTCCCTGCCGGGCTCTCGTGACACCCAAAGGTACCGCTTGCCCTTTAGCACCGCAGCAGTCGGGTGGTCCCCGAGGGGGTCATGGGAGGGGGGTTTGTAGTAGTGTGTGGGTTTCCCCTTCCTGATGGCCGCCCCGTGTCCTGGCAGGAAAGCGAGGATGCGGTGAAAGCCCTGGCGAAGGAGAAGGACCTCCTGGAGCGGGAGAAGTGGGAGCTGCGGCGGCAAGCCAAGGAGGCGACAGACCATGCCAGCGCCCTCCGCTCCCAGCTCGACCTGAAAGACAACCGCATGAAGGAGCTGGAGGCCGAGCTGGCCATGGTGAGCTCGCTAACACAGCGGGCATGGCTCACGGGGCAGCTCTGCGCCGCCGCTGCAGGCACTCGGCTCAGCAGCTCAAGTGCTTGAAACACCCCGGCGAGTTTTGCTGAATTTAAATATTTATTGCAATATCGCATTGAAGTCGTTGCATGCGTTTGCTGCAGTTGTTACACGCATGCATTTGCTACAGTTGTTGCATTATTGCAATATTGGCAGAAAAAAAAATCCATCAATAAAAAGGAGCTGGATATCCTTGGTGCAGGGAGCAACACAATTTGGGTATTGACTTGCCAAGAGAAGGGTGGGTTTGGTGCAGTGTGTTGCTGCCAGTTCTGCTGCTCCGGGAGATGTTCACATGGTTTTTCCCCACCACCACCACCTTGGTGTCCTTCCCCAGGCCAAGCAGTCCCTCGCCACGCTGACCAAGGACGTCCCCAAGCGCCATTCCTTGGCCATGCCGGGCGAGACGGTGCTGAACGGCAACCAGGAGTGGGTGATGCAGGCCGACCTCCCGCTGACGGCCGCCATCCGGCAGAGCCAGCAGACCCTCTACCACTCGCACCCCCAGCACTCGGCGGACCGGCAAGGTGAGCCCCCCCGCACGGATCAGGGCGCAGGGCCGAACCCATTTTGGAGAGCTGCCTTATTCCCCCATAGAGGGAGAAAAAAAGGTCAAAACACCCCGAAAATAGGTTTTTTGGAAGTGCATCAGAGGCTTTGCGTGGGGTCAGGTTTGCTGGCGTGATGTTAACTCCCCGGTCCCCCCCTGCCTTCCAGCGGTCAGAGTGAGTCCCTGTCATTCCCGGCAGCCGTCCATCATCTCCGACGCCTCTGCGGCCGAGGGTGACCGGTCGTCCACACCGAGCGACATCAACTCACCCCGGCATCGAACACACTCGCTCTGCAACGTAAGGGGCTATGTGATGGGGGGCTTGCTTTGATGGGGGGCTTGCTTCCCCGCTGTGTGCAGCTGGGGATGCTGTGGGTCCTCTGCTCCCAAAAATGATGTTGGTTTTGGGGTGGGGTACGGGTTGGAGGTTTGTTGACCTGGAGAGCTGCTTTCCTGGGGTTTATCCTAGCCCCACAGTGATGCAGCCACCCATTCGAGCTGCTTGTTACTGGGGTGGCGGTGGGTCCCGGGCGGTGTTGGGGCTGATGCAATTGGATCCGTCTGCTTCTGCCGCAGGGGGACAGTCCTGGACCGGTACAGAAGAACTTGCACAACCCAATTGTACAGGTAGGGCACAAAGCCCTGTTTAAATCCTGCTCGTGAGACTTGGTCCTGTGCTACTGAGTGATTTGAGGGGGCTCCCACATCCAAACTGATTTGGGTTTTAAAAAAAAAAAAAAAGAATGGAAGCCATCCTGAATTCTAAGTCTGGGATGTCTCAGATTGCCATGATTTGCCCCAAAATCCAGGTAATGCTGTAGGTGGTTGCTGTGCTCAGGGCCCATCGTGGTCCCTGATTTTTGTAAGGCACAGCCTAGATCAGGTTATTCTTCTGTGTTTGACCCTAAAACGGTGGAGTATTTGAGCAAGCTGTGGACAGACCCTTGTTCTTCCCATCCTTACGTACCAGGAGCTGAAATCCTGACCTGGTTGAATTAAGAAGCCAAAATCCCTCAACATTGCTTTGGACCTGGACCCAAATAGTTTTGGTCCATTTGGTCCATTTGGACCCTGGTCCATTGTCCCCGGTGTGGGGCTGGGGGGGTGAATGAAAAGCTCAGTGACCAAGCTCGTGTCCTCTCCCCCCGCAGTCTCTAGAGGACCTGGAAGACCAAAAACGGAAAAAGAAGAAAGAGAAGATGGGCTTCGGCTCCATCTCCAGGGTGTTCGCCCGGGGGAAGCAGCGCAAGTCTCTCGACCCCGGCCTCTTCGACGGTACGGCCCCCGACTACTACATCGAGGAGGACGCGGACTGGTGACCCCCCTGCGCCGGGCGAGCGCCGGGAGCCTCTCCCCGGCCTCGCCATCGCCGATGTACATACTCCACCCCAGCCCCGCCTGTGGACGTGTTACCTGTTGTCTTGGGAGCGATGCAGCTGTGTCGTAACTTCAGTTTTTTTCCCTTTTTTTTGTGTTTTTTTCCATACCGGTAACTCCTTTGTTGTCGCTTCAGTTTGTCAGTTTGGGTTAGTTTTTTTGTCAGTTGTTTTTTCGTTTATTTCCTCCTTCTTTTGATGAAACTTGAAACTTGAAGGACTGCTGTGTCTCTGTAAATACCAGAAATATTGTGCACTTTGTGCTTGTGACGTCTCTTGTCCGAAACCGCTGTTTTCCGGAGCCCAGCCTGCGGGATGTCCTTGCTTGGGGACGAAGGACCTGCCCAGCTGAGGGACCTTAGAGAGAAAACACACACACGCAAAAAAAAAAAAAAAAA